TGGCACCTTCATTACTTTACTTCTTATCCACTCTTATTGTGGTAAGAGTTTTTACATATACACACATACCCTCATAGAGTTGAAAGTTCAGTGTTCATTGCAGGGCTCCAGGCTGCAAGTGATCACTTGTGTCCAAATTTATTTAAGGTGTGACTGACTTTTTCAAAGTTCACACTGGGTGCGGTTTTCTACACATCAACAGGCCACCAGCTCAACAACCTCTGCTGTTCCTCGGAGCTCAGTGAAGCCAAATTCGGGCACCAACCAAACAAGTAAAACATTCAACACTACTACTCCTTATTTTCAGCCTGTTCCATGACTATAAAATTTGGCACTTTGCACTGTGTTTATAGGCTCTTTGCTGACCGTGTACATATCAAAGTTGGACCTTGGAACCTCTACAACCCTTTACCGTTTCTCCCTCAACATCAGCACTCCCTGGAAACCGTGCAGCACAGAGATTCAGGAGGTGCCATCATTTCAGGTTTGGAAGCAGATCAAGTCAACTTCATGATTTCTGTTTTTATAATTAGTAGAAGTGTTAAGTCTCCCAACTGTAATGCAGTCTAAGCAAAGATGCCCAGACTAATCTCTCTCCAGACACTTCCTCCAGCTCCTCCGGGGGAGAGACATAGTCCCTCCAGTGTGTCCTGGCTCTTCCCCGGCAGATGCCCGAGCCACCTCAGCTGGCTCCTCTCAATGTGGAGGAGCAGCGGTTCTACTCTGAGCTCCTCCTGGGTGACTGAGTTCCTGAGTGCAATTCATCAGTTTATATGTCAACTGAAATATAATAGCCTGATCATCATCATCATCATCATCATCATGTTGACTGATAGGCTATAGAGCACTACAGTGACGACATAAAAAGAGCTAGAAGCTTGTTCCAGAAGTGATTTTCTCATTTACTGTGTTCCATATGTTTCCCTCTCTCTGAATTTGATTATAAATACAGACTGTGCACATTGGATTGTAAGGGTGTTTAAAATAATTTATGAAAAATACTGATTCTTTTGCATTAAGTTCTAAAAAAAGAGGTGGTGCTACCAAATCTGGCTACCAGTGCCACCAGTATGAAGTGTTAGTCTGGAACCCTGCATGGTGTTGAAAGTTGTCTGATCATGTATATCTGTTTGTTGGTGTGTGTTCATGGGAGTGTAGTTGTCTAAAGGACGTGCCCGTATCATTTCAAAATATGAGATGGACACACTTCTCTCAGAAAAAGGCTCACTCATCATCTACCTGGACAAGGTAAGACACCGGTCAGTGTGTGAATGTTGTGTGTGAATGTGTATCATCTCCTGGTGTAGTTGTCTAAAGGACGTGCCCGTATCATTTCAAAATATGAGATGGACACACTTCTCTCAGAAAAAGGCTCACTCATCATCTACCTGGACAAGGTAAGACATCAGTCTTTCCTCCTGTCCCTTCTGCTCATTACCTTATATTTATCACTGTCTCATCTTTGTTTTACATCTTTCTGCAGGTTTCTCACAGGCGATCAGAAGAGATCACATTTAGGATCCATCAAACGATGAACGTGGGTGTCTTACAGCCAGCTGCTGTGTCTGTCTATGAATATTATGACCGTAAGTAGCAAAGAAACATATGGTACTTTAATGTGTTTCAAGATTTTTCTCTGCTGCAATTATATGTCAGTGTAGATAACACTGTGGATAAGCAGGCGTTGTTACATGTTCAGAGTATTTAAATATGTTCTGATGTATTACACTTACCACAAACACAGTTTATCAAATATCTGTGTTGCAGAAAAACCCTGTGTGAAATTCTACCATCCAGAAAGGAGAGCTGGACAGCTGACAGTCTGTAGGAATGATGAATGTACATGTGCTGAAGGTAAAGAGGAAACTGTCTGAACATGGAAGCTTTAACGCTTAAATTTGTTACACCTGAAAATCATGAGGGTACAAGAAAAGACTAACACTGTGCATCCTAGAGATAAAGCGCTGATTACAGTGGGGTGGCTGTGGCTTAGAAGGTAGAGCAGGTCGTCTCCTAACCAAAGGGCTGGTGATTCAAGTCCTGGCTTCTCTAGTCCACATGTCAAAGTGTCCTAAGGCAAGACACTTAACCCCAAACTGCTCCTGGTGCCTGTTCTATCAATGTGTTTGTGTGAATGCTTGTGTGCACAAATGAGTGAATGGGAAATAGTGTAAAGCACTACAAGTGTGCTTCATTGCATAGAAAAATGCTACAAGTCCATTTCATTTGTCATCCTGCATTGTCTTACTTTAGCAAGTCAATATTGCACCTCGGTAAAGTTAAGTGACTGATTCTCCTGAGTCTACTAACTAATCCAGACCAGAGCAAACTGGCCCCAATGGACTCAGCTGGCTCAGATCCAGGATCACTCTCCATTCAGTCTGTCCTGCACCATCACGGTGTGTAATTAGGACAATTAGAACAATCCTGGCGCTGGGAAATGGAATCAGTTCAGGCCCTAGCACAGCGGGTCTCCCAGTTGACAGACCAGGTTGCCAGGCTAACGCCTTCCTCACCCTGAACCCTTTTCAGGGGACCTCGACAAGTGCTGAGGCTTCGTGCTGCAGTGCACCATGATCTTTGAGCAGAAATCCCTCTCCCTTCAATTAGACCACTTCAAGATATTTTACATCATCAAGGCAGGGCCCTGGCTTGGGCAGAAGCCTCCTTTCCCCATGCAACCTTGCATGGCCTGACCTTCGAGGAGTTTCTGCACAAATTCCAAAAGGTTTTTGACCACCCAAACCACCGGGGTAGTGCAGCTAAGTGTCTTTTGTCCTTGCGATCATGGATGAGATCAGAGAGGCCAAATGAACACTACTTACCATAGTTGACTGATTTTCCAAGGCAGCACATTTTGTGCCTCTTCCCAAGCTTCCTTCGGCCTAAGAAACAGCGGATCTCCTGACTCTACACGTTTTCTGGCTCCACGGGATCCCTTCTAGGTCAAGGTCAAGGTCAAAGGTCAAAGTGTTATTTGTCATATGCACAGTTAGGAAACGTGTTTCCCTGTACAATAAAATTCTTACTTTGCCGTCCACATGAATGCCACAAAATACAAATGAAATATAAAGTAGATAAATAAGTAACACAAAATCTAAGGTACTTTAAGCAGTAAATGCAGCAATATAATAAAAATATATAAGAATATAATAGAGAATGTATGCTGCATGGGAGCAGCATGTGCAGCAGTCAACAGTCAAGGTGCAATTATGCATGTGCAAACTGAGAATGTAAACAGTACAGGCCGACAGTACATGACGTATTTCCTGGTAATAAATTCCTCAGCTGTTTAGGAGTCTGATGGCAGAGGTGAAAGAAAGAGTTTTTCAATCTGGAGGTCCTGCATTTCACACTTCTGAACCTCCGGCCAGAGGGTAGGGAGGTGAACAGTTTGTGCTGGGGGTGGGTGGGATCTTTGAGGATGGAGGCAGCCCTCCTATGCACCCTGCGGTGGGAAATGCTCTGCAGAGAGGGCAGTGGAGGGCATTGTCTGACAGGGGTCCGCAGTTTGTGTTCCAGGTGTGGAGGGCTTTCTGTTCAGCTCTGGGCACCAAGGACAGCATGTCTTCAGGCTTGCACCCACAGACCAAAAGGCAGGTGGAACATTTAAATCAGGAATTAGAAACTGCCCTGTGGTGATTCTTGGCCTCCAACCATTCGGCCTGTAGTCTCCATCTACCTTGGGTCGAATACACCCACAACTCCCTAGTCAGCTCAGCCTCTGGATGTTCTCCATTAGAGGCTTACTGGGCTATCAACCACTCTGATTCCCAGCAGAGGTGGCAGTTCCCTCTGTGCAGTCCCTCGTTCGTTGCTGTTGGTGAATCTGAAAAAAGACCAGAGCTGCTCTTTGCTGCACTGGAAACAAGAACCGGTGCCTGGTGGACTACCATCAATGCCTAGCACCAGTCTACAGCCCTGAGCAAATGGTTTGGCACTCCTCTGAACATATTCCATTGAAAGGGATGCCCAGAAAGATGGCCCCACGCTTCCTGGGTCCTTTGTTGATGGTGAAAGTTCTTCATCCCACAGCTGTCAGACTCTGGCTTCTGTGCTCCCTCCGGATCCACCCAACGTTTCATGTTTCCAAGATCAAACTGACTTCCTCCAGCCCATTGTGCCCTCTGGCCGGGTCCCTGCCTCCCACCCTGGCTGTGGATGGTGAGCCAGCTTACTCCGTTTGCAGCCTCTTGGATGTCCACCATCGGGATCGGGGCCTACAATATCTGGTGGACTAGGAGGGGTGCATTCCCAAAGAACGTTCTTTGGTTCCCTGTTCCTTTATCCTGGATCCTGATCTGATGCGTGACTTCCACTGCACACACCCGGAAAAGCCTGGTGGATGCCCTGGAGGCTCCCGTGAAGGTGGGGGTACTGTTAGGACTTCTGCCACTGCTCCCTCTCCCTCATGATCAGACGAGGAGGTTGAGCAGCTCGGTGTGCCCGGGAACAAGCTGCACAGCTGCTCACAATCGGCTCATTAAGCTTTACACTATTTAACCCTGGTTCTAGTGTCACCTTGTTGCCAGGTTGTTCTGCGTATCTACACCCAAGCTAACAGCTTTGAAAAGTGCAGAGATAAATGATAACATAATAAAGAAAACATGCCCACAGTGACAATGGTAACATACTGATTCCTGTTTTGAGTTTCATATATAATGTGGCCATTTAAGATACGGTTGTTGAATTTGGTTAACAAGCGCTTGTAAGATCCTGTGGTATCAAAGCAGCAGAGGTCGAGGTTGTCATTATACTTAGAACCTAAAAGAAGCTTTAACTTTGATACAACTTCACTCATCCATCCACACACATTCACATGTTCTCACTTAATCAGGTCACCAGTTGTGTATTTACTGTATTTTATCTTTCCAGAGAACTGCAGTATGCAGAAGAAAGGCAAAATCAGTAACAATGAGCGCATAACTAAACTTTGTGAGAGCACATCCACCAACCAAATAGATTATGGTAAGAGAGTGTATATGGACTGCATATATAGAGAGCTTTTATCTTAAAAAGTATGTTTGTGTAAGAGAAAACTGAAAAAACAAGTAAGTGAGGTAACAATCTGTAACTTGTTTGTCTTCAGTGTACAAAGTGGCAGTGGAAGGTTTTACAGATGAGTTATCCACTGACATTTACACAGTGCGTGTACAGGAAGTCATCAAGGAAGGTGAGTATTTATCTCCTGATAATTTTCAAAACTATTTGAACTTTCTAAACTTTACTACCCACTTATGTTTTATTGAAAGTCTTTCTAAAGTGCCGTAATATGACATACAAAACTTGTTCACTTGTAAGCTTAGAGGTACAGGTGTTCAGATTTTGTCTTTTGGACAGAGCCAGGCTAGCTGTTTACCCCTGTGAGCTGTTGCTGGCTCTAGCTTCATATTTACTCTACATGAGTGTGTTTTCCAAACTAACCATTCCTTAAAACATGATTCCACTGGGAATATGTGAGAATACAACAGTAATGATTTATACTGCATGTCTGTCCAGGCTTTTAGGCTGTAATTATCTTCTCTCTCTTGTCCTATATTTTAACTACAGGAAATTCTGATGTGGGTTCTCAGGGCAAAGTGCGTACATTCCTCAGTTATCCACACTGCAGGGAGACATTAGATGTGAAAGTAGGCAAAACCTACCTTATCATGGGAACCTCCAAAGATATTCGCAGAGATGACGAAAATCGTTCGTAAGTTCATCCTTTGTATCTGCAGCTCCCTCACAATATTTTCTTCATTTAAACATTTGAACTATTTTAGTCAAGTCAGACTGTGATGCCAGTAGTGAGGATGCTCTCTACCAGTCCTCTATTGGCCTGGGTAGGGTGAGAGGGCGACGGTTCAGACCAGCTTTTCTGAGCTGCCTGATGATGTTTAGCTGCTTCCGGGCTTTCTTCTCTGTGGCAGCTGTGTTCAGTGACCAGCTCAGGTCAGATGTCACCTGCAGGCCCAGGAACTTGTGGCTGTCAGCCCTCTCCACCTCAGTCCTTTTGATGGTCAGGGGCAGCAGAGGGGAGGGGTTCTTCATGAAGTCTACTATTATTTCTTTTGTCTTGTTTATGTTGAGGATGAGGTCATTCTCCTCTCCATAAACAAGAATGTCGTTCACCAAGCTTCTGCAAACCGACTCGTCTCCCCCCTTGTTGAGTCCCAGAATAGTGGTGTCATCAGCATATTGAATGATGATGGTGTTGTCATGATTGGAGACACAGTCGTGGGTGTACATGGTGAAGAATTTTGGGCTGAGACAGCAGCCTTGTGGTGAGCCTCTGCTGATTGTAAGCTCAGCAGACACCTGCCCTCCCATTCTAACTACCTATGGTCTTTCAGTCAGGAAGTCCAGAATCTAGTTACAGGTGGGAGTTGGGACACCGAGGTCTGTCATCTTCCTAATCAGCCTGCCTGGGCGAATGGTGTTGAATGCAAAACTATAATCAAGGAGGAGCAACCTAGCATACGTACTGCTGCTGTCCAGGTGTTTCAGGGTATGGAATAAAGCCAGAGCCGTCGCGTCATCCACTGATCTGTTGGGGCAGTAGGCAAACTGGAGGGGGTCTACAGTGTCCGGGACCATGTGGTTAATGTGTGTGAGGACCAGTTTCTCTAAGCACTTCATGGCGACTGATGTGAGCGCCACTGGCCTGAAGTCATTCATAGTGGATGTGTCTGATGTCTCAGGGACCAGTATGATGGATTTCTTGAAAATGCGAGTAACTACTGCTTGGGTTAAAGACGGGTTGAAGATATCTGTATACACACCAGCTAGGTGATCCCCATAGCTCTCAACACTCTAGGGGGGACACCGTCTGGTCCTGCCGCCTTATGGGGGTTTACCTATTTCAGGGCCTTCAGGACTTGTGTGTGTGTCACCTGAAAAGCAGTGTCCCCTGGGTCGCAGGGGGATTTTGAGGGGTGTCTGTGTTCAACCTGTCAAACCTCACATAGAAGCTGTTGAGGCTGTCCGGGAGGGTGGCGTCCTGGGGGGCTGTGTTTGTTGATTTGTTCCTATAGTTTGTGACTGCCTGGATTCCCTGCCACATAATGTGCGTGTTGTTCATATAGTAGCTCTCCAGTTTTTGGAAGTATGCTCTCTTTGCAGCTCTGATGGACTTCTGTAGCTCATACTGGGCTTTCCTGTACTCCCTTTGGTCCCCTGACCAAGAAAATCCCTGACATAGAACCCCTGACATAAAAAAATCAGCCACGAGAGGCTTTTAAAAGCCTCTCGTCTCTTCCTGATTTTCTATTTTATATCCCTATTAAACAAGGGTTTCTGGTTAGGGAAAACACGCACCAGGCTATCTGGTGCGCATATGGATGTGCACCAACTGATGTAGTCACTCAGTCTCTGCATATTCATGGATGTCATCTGTGGTCCCTTTGAAGATGCTCCAGTCTGTGGCCTCTAAACAGCCCTGCAGGCTGGCCTGTGTACAGTCGTTCCAGGTGTTAACAATTCTGGTTGAGACTGGTTTCGCCTTGAGTCATTTGGTGTAAGCAGGTTTGAGCTACACTCACAATGATACATTGCGGCTCTCAGGGTAAATAAAATGGCCTTAGCTTTAGTGTTAAATATTCAACATCTTCAGAACAGAATTTAGAGAGAATCTTACAGTCTGTGCACCAGGACTGTTTGACGAAGGCTGTTCCTCCGCCGCGGGTCTTGCCACTTTCAGCAGCACTGCAATCCTGTCACAGAGTAACCATCCAGAGTTATACCCTCATCGGGAGTCTCTATTCCCAGCCAGGTTTCACAAAAACACAGCAGGGAGCAGTCCTGTATGTCCTTCTGCGAGGTAATCCGAGCATGGAGTTCATCCAGTTTATTATCCAGAGATTGGACATTTGCGAACAGTATAGCAGGGAGGGCTAGCCTGCCGCTGCTAACCAAGCGCTGGAGCCTCCGTTCGACTC